ACGCTCTTCTCAAATTATTAGCCAGAGAGGTACAAATACCTTATCACATAAAACGGAGAAGAATAAAGGCAAAACACTGATGAAAATAAATTAAAACAACGAAACATGCAATATTATATATATGGCACCTGTGTTTATATATATGATGGATCCACGTCCAAAGTTTTTCAGCACACAAATGTTTGGTTGCTGCAGGTTAGTACTCATTGCTTTGAAAACGTTTCTCAAATAAAGACTTATGTTCCCTATTCAGTAAACATCACATACTTGCGCATTATGATTGCTTTGGCATTGGTTGTGTCATAAATTGTTTAATTTTGGAGGCATCATGACCACAACTGGTTGCGGAGGGAATTTCTTCAAAGTGCCATACACAATCACACTGAATATATTGAGTATATGAACAAAGTGGTGAAAATCGATAAGCATGTGCATGTGTGAGAACTGAACGTGACAACTACATATTCAGTTTTTTTGGTGAAAAACTACATATTCAGTTAATACTTCAATATCTGTCTCTCACCAGCTGGTTAATAACATATATAAGCATGAGCCTTTGCATTTTGAACTTTATAAAATTAGATTTTGATAATATCACTTTATGATTGATGAAATTTGAAGGAACTTAAGGTATTATGATTCACCATGTAAATTAGTAAAACGGGATGTGCAAAGATGGATGGATACATGTATCTATATTAGAGGCATATGTAATAGGAACCTAGCTAGAGTACGTAGGAAAGGAACTGAAGATTTAACCTTAAAAAGAATCCATAAAGAACATCACAATCTTTATGTGTGTTTGTTTTTGCAGCAAATAGAAAAAAGATCGTAAATTACATTTTACTGTCATGTGACGCCAAAATCCAAATTTATTTAAATAATAACTGAGGTTTATTTATAAGACACCAAATTCCCATTTTTTAAGGAAAATTTCCATTTTTTAAATATTACATTCCACTCCATTTATATCAATTTATTAACAGTTTTTTTATGACATGCTAACAGAATATTCTATTTAATCAGCGTCAATAAAGTATAGTTAGCATAAAAATGTCAAATTTAAATATTTAAGTAAAAAATGTCTAGGTGTCTTTTATTTTCTTTTTGAAAAGTTTAAACACTTCTATAATTATTATAAGAAAATACATTTTTCATTGTTTATAATTTTAAGTATATTAATAATTTTAATTTATATTAATTATATTATTAATATTATTATTTATAAGTAAAACGCCAAACTACTAGGTGTCTCTAATTTTTTAAAATATTAAAAAAAAATAAACGTAATAATGAAAGTATACTCCTAATTCTTTTTTGTAACAATATAAAAACTCCTCATTCTTTTGATTTAAAAAATATAATTGTTAAAAATAATTAATATTTCATACAGTACATAATAATTATAAAACTATATTACTATAATTTTAAAGAGATGTTTTAACAATTGAATATTTTTTATTTAAAAATTGTTTTAATTAAGAATTGAAGCATTGAATTTTCTATTTCCACAGCATGTACTCTATAGACAATCCATGCAACGTGAACACGTTCACAAGCTTACCTTCATGGTTTCTACAAGCATCACCACCTTCAAAAGAAACAACAAAGTAGACTCACTTCTTTTTACTCTGCACCTTCTCTTCTTTTTATTATCCCATGGATTTCCTAAAATACTCGTAAAGATAAAAAAGAGGAAAGGCTATGCATGGTTTAGTTAATATACACGTATGGCATTTTCTTTACGATATGTTTCAGAGTTTGGTTTCGGAAAGTAGAAGGTAATTTTTTTTTTTTTAAATTAAAAGAATTATATTCATAAAAATAAATTAAAATAATTTATTTTTATTTAAAATATCAAATTAAAAATGAAAATTAGCACTTTATTTCTTTTCCTTCCAAAACTTAAATCCTAAATATATACTTCACGCCTTAAATTGATCTATTCATTTCCCAACCCTTGAGTGTTACCCAAATGCAAAAAACGTCATCTGATATAGGGTCTTCTTTTTATTTAAATTTCTTTTTAAAAAAATGTTTTTTTGTAATAAAATAAACAGGTTTGTACTTTAAAAAAAAACAATTTTTTACTTTTTTTTTGAAATAATAACTTCAAAAATATATTTTTAGAAACACTTTTCCTACTTTGATTGTTAGCTTTGGAATAGCGGATGAATTATGTCCATGAAAAGGAAGAAAAAAAAATTCTTAAGAGAAACTAATCGTTTTTTCTCTAGTTATATATATATATATATATATAAGGAGGGATTCATTTATTCTAGGAATAAGTCTACCTAGACTTAATCCGTTCAATAATCTATGTTCTATATCAAATTTTAACTATCTAACCGTTGAATTTAAAGTTTTTAATGCATAAATCAAATCTGCAAATTTTTAAAAAAAATTTGAAAACCATTTAATATTTCATTTCATTAATAACAGATAATTATAAAATTATTTTACACATTGATTTGAATAAATAAAACGAAATATCAAATAATTTTCAAAATTTTTAAAAATTTACAGATTTGATCTATGTATTAAGAACTTTAAATTCAACGGTTAGACTATTAAAAATTGATGTAAAACATGAATTATTGAACGGTAGACCTACTCTTGAAGTAAACAAATCCTTCTTCTCTCTCTATCTATCTATCTATCTATATATATATATATATACATGAGATTTGTCTTCCAACTTGATTGAGATCTTCCATTAATTTTAACATCTTTTATTTTCTCAACGAGGGAAAATGAAATATATATATATATATATTTGTTCCAAAATAAAATTGCAGCAACGAATTCCATGATGCTACAAAACTTTTAAATATAAATTTATATTTACACTTTAAAAAAATCATCCAAATAAAATTAATTATCTAAAGTCAAATTTAAAATACAATTCTCAAACAAAGTTAACATAAATTCTCTTAAAAGCAAACGGGTCCTAAAATCCTCACATCTCTCGAATTCGTTTGCGTGAAAGAATTATAATTTTGGCGTGTAAAAGACAATATTAGACCGACTGTGATAATATATATATATATATATATATATATGTATATATATATATAAATGTCAGGTAATATATATCGTTAGTAAATATGAGTGCTTGCTATTTTTCTAATATTATACCTCAACAGCTATATGCTCGGACATAACAGACAATATATTCATATATAAATGTAATAATCTTACTATGATATTCTCAATAATAGCCTACCTCTTCTGCTCCAAAATTCTGTTTTTACTTTTTCTAACCACTAAGAACTTTTGAGATCAAAATGGAAGAATTGGAAATTTAAGACTAAATACACTACTCGCCAAGAGCACAAGGAATGCATGGAGGATCATGGGATTGGTCATCAGGGGTTATTCGCTCCAAGCAACAATCGTGAAAGGTGTGGCCACATGATAGGACAGCAACAGCAGGCGGAGTAGGTGGCAGGGAAATGGGCCCTTCTGGTGAGTAGGATAGATCCCTCTTGCACAAAAAACATTTATAACCAATTGGTTCTGGTGTTTCATCTGAACCAGCATAAAGTTCCCACATTAGAACATAATGCATAATAATGAATGCTCCACAAAACCCATATCCATATATTAGTGACATTATATGCCAATTAAAGTATAATGACTGGACCATAACTCAGGATGGGTATCGGGCCTCATGAGTTAAGGTTCAATCCTTGGATAAATTTCAGTGATCTCTACGTTTCTTTTGACCCAGGATTCTCACTGATGAAATAGTTGGCTTTTCCGACATGCATATGTAACATATTTAGGCCTATTTCTATGGATTTTATTCAGGGAAAGGAATAGGATAAGAAATTAAGAACAAATCATGAAAAGCTTTCTTTAATTGAGCAATCTCACTCGAAAATGAAATCTAACAACATTATGTTCTTCTCATCAGAATAATGAACATAGTTTCGATGACTGTTTAAATGCACAGTAAAGTAGATGCAAGTGTACCTAGACATATTGCGAGTAAAATCAGATAATTAACTTTCCGAAAAAATCGTGTAAGGACAGAAAAGGAAGTCATTAAACATGCAAGAATAAATAAAGAAGCTTCAAGGAATACCTTTAAATTTAATGTAACCGGAAGCAGATGGCATAATCTGAGCCTTCAAACGTTGGCGAGCCCGAGCTAATTGATGGTTAAATTGGTTTGTACGAGGTGAAGTATGGGATGAGGGGTGGTGGAAAGATGAGATTCTCTTGTCATTAGGTGGGAGAACCGGAGCAGTGTGCATTAAAGGAGGAATTGCCCGAGTTGTGTTTGGGGCTGGCACAGCAGATTTAGCCTGAGTTGTGGGGAACGATGGAGGAACAACAGAGTGAGTAGCTTGGGGTGTGAGTGATTGGGCTGGGCGGACCAAGGGAGAAATTGCTCGGTTTGCATTTAGGACTGATGGATCCAATCTAGTCCAAGTTGGTATTGACGGATGTATGAACTGAGTTGGTAGGGTCTTCCTGTGTTGATTCTGGACAGTGGATGACAGTGGTTGGGAAGCAGGTCTCTTTAGAGATGACATGATGGCTGGCCCTGAAAGTTGAGAAGTCATATTTCCCTTTCCAGTTTGCATTCCTAGATCTGAAAAAGATAGTTTATTGCTTCCATTGTATAAAAATAAAGAAATATCCAAAAGTGAGTAGAAATCATGATGTTTAATAAGGTAATCACCAGAAGTAGAATGTGGTCGAAGTGGAGAGTTTGATTGCTGAATAGAACCAACTGCCTGAGATTGACCATGATGACCTACAGGAGACCATGAATCTTAATCAATAAATAATAATAGACCATTCACATTTCACTCATTCAATTTTTAAAATTGACAGACATGTAATATCTGTCTATATGCATCAAGTGAAACGCTATCACTTTAAATCAAACAGAAAACGATTAGCAAATAGTCAGGCCCCTGGTTAATACTTAGTTATGTCACAGTTGTCATGTATCATGAAAACTAACCAAAGTAATTATTCATCCATATACAAAACTAGAGGGCAGGAAGCACGATAATTAAGCCAAGTAAAAAAGTTTGTAAATATCCTTAAGCTATTCCTTAGACATGCCGGCAATACTGTTAAATGATCATCTTTCAACAAACATGAACAACACTAAATTTAATTTCTGGAAAATGTATTTTGCAAAGTACTTTAAAGTTTATCAACGAGAAAAACACTAATCTTAGGTACATCACAAGAAGAAATATTCGATTTGAGGTACTTCATAAGAATTCATTTCAAGCACAACAAAGCAATGAGTTGGCGAGAAACATTAAGAGGTGCCACCTGAGAAGTTTGGGATCTGATCCATTTGTATGTTTACAATCCTCTGTTTTACTTTTATTTATGTAAAAGAAAGTATAAAAAGATAATTCAGATATCAGCAGATACAGGAAACAATTTTATAAATCCAACAAATGTGTCTCTGAGTCAAGTATTTAGTCACTGCAAATCAGAAGCAGATAATTTATCTATTTATCTCCACTGAATAGCATACAAAGACAATAAATGGAAGAATGTGGACTACTGGTACTTGAAAGACTAAGCCCAAAACTTCTATGAAAAACAAGAGAAAGTAGCATCAAAAATAAGATTTTAAGACCAAGACAAAAATCATCAACTACATTTGAAATGGATTTGACATTTACTCACAAAATCAAAGGAGATGTTTCATATATCAATATTCAAGAGCAGAAAATAAGGAATTAAGAGGTACAACACATACTTGAAGGATCCTGCCCTCTGGTGCTTCTAGTGGCCACAGCTAAAGGACGACTAGGAAACTGTGATGAGAACTTATTGGTATTTATAGGAAACAGCTCCGTAGGTAACTTATCAGTTACCATCCCACTTGAAGAGGAAACTAGCTGTCTGTTCACCCGGCTCTGTCCACTTTCAAAAGGCAAAGATTGACTGCCAACAATTGGCAATGAATTTAGATCCATGCATCTTTCTAGGCCATTTTTGTGACCTACATCTGTAAATTCCATCCCTATGTTTTTCACATTTCCCAGACCTAGATCCCTGTTGACCTTCCCTAAATAATGGTTTTGGTCACCAGCAGCTGGGCTTTGAAAAGCATATGACGGTCCCAGACGTAAAACAGGTCTAGAATCAAACAGAGCTTCATGATTGCCTGCATGTGCTAAATTAGATATTATTTCACTGTCATTCTGAAAAGCAGAAAAGGCACCATTCATGTCTAAACCAGGGCTTAAGGAACTTCTGCTACCCAGTTGATTATGATCAGTATCGCTTGGAGGAAAAAATGCCCTTTCAGAATTACCCCTCACATTGACTTTTGGTACTACAGCACTGGATTCAGACTCCATTTTACTGCTTCCAGAACCAATGCTCATAAAGTTTTCATCGCATTTACCCATAGCGAGCAATGGCTCTGCACCACCTTGGTTTGGATTATACTGAGACATTCCCAAATTCATATCTAGTGGAGGAAGCCCAATATTACCACTCATTGTTATTCTACTAGGGTTGACCATTTGTGGTCTTCTGGCTGAACCATAACTTAGGGTCACACTGTCAGGCTTCTCAAAACTATTTAGATTGAAGGCAGCATTACTCACATCAGTGGGGATCGTTTGATTATTGAGCCTATTATGTTGATATTGCCACCCTGTGTGTCCTTCTGGAGATGGAAAAATAGAACCTGGCCTGCATGGAAGGAAGTTGTGTTCCACTCCTCTATGCGTGTAATTATGGTCCATCAGGAGATTCTGATAACTTTTGGACTGAGAGGAATCAATCCTTGAATTGCCTCCAGCGGGTTGCCTGCTATAATATTGAGATGCTGCATTCAAATTCCGGCTGGGAAAAGGAGATGGTGATCCCACAGGCAGAGAGGTGGTTGTATCATTACGGTGACAATCACCAGGAATCCTGTCACGGTTAGGCGAATCAGTGTTCATTAAATTGAATCCGAGGTCTTCATTTCTTTTTTCCATGGATGCAGAAGCAAAGGGCGTATTCTCGTTCTTTCAGTAATCCAACATGAATAATTCTGCCGCACAATAGTAAAAAAGAGCACAAGTAAATCCAATGAGTTAAAACTCATAAAAGTCAAGTATAACCAAAGAATCGATTGCTAGTGATTCTACAAAGAATTAATAAAGATATGTCTCAGATCCTTCTGAGCATGTACAAAAATATTGAATTACCAGAGCAATAGCATTCACATGGAAACTGCCAATTCACCTGCCGTACTCTTCTTCACTCTTTAGACAATGAAAATCAAGAACAGCAAGAAGCCAGCAGAGATGCTAGGCACTGCAAAGAAACTTGAAAAAATTGAAGTTGGGTTAGAAAAGATAAGTGCAAAATAAGTAAAAATTGTAAATTTCCATAAATGAGTATGATTGATATACTTAATCTAACCCTGTAGTTTCCCCAAAATTTACATGGACCCTCAAACACGAAATTTTAACCTAAGTCAGAAAAGTAGCATTTGAGCAAAGACGAGAGCATGGTAACGAGAAAAGCATAAAATCTAAAATATTGAAGAAAGAAAGGAGTTGAGAAGAAAAGAAAGAAAGAATGGTAGCAAAAGAGAGAGAGAGAGAGAGATACCAGTTGGGTTTGGGGTTGCGGTGAATGGTGAATGTGAAGGTGAGGACGGGACAGACAGGAGAGGAATTGGGGGTTTTGGCGCCCTAGCGAGTTAGACATTTTAAAGGGTTCGGTGTGGGGTCTACCATTCACTCTTTAATCATCCTTCCACGTGTTCATTCCTCCTTTCTAGTTCAAACACTTCACATTCCTTTAAATCCTACTATAACACTCCAAATATCTCCAATATAACGCATTTTTCCTATTATAGTAGTATAAGATAAAACGCATAAGCTTTTTTATACTTTTTTTTTTAAATAAAACAATCTTAAATTTATGATGATATTTTTAATAGAAATGTTTTTAGTTACCATAACAATAATAATAATATAAGCATTAACATCAAGATAATGATATATTAGAGGTAAAATGTTAATAGACGACATTAATAACAAGTAACACTAACAATATCACATAATGATAATAATAGTATTTTGTTTCTTGAATTTTGAGTATTATGTACTCAAGATAAAAAGTTATTTATATAAAATTTTATATTATTTTTCTTCATTTTATTTGTTATGTATGATAATCATTTTGTAAATCAAATATGAATTAGTTATATTTGACTTGTTTAGCATGGTTTTAATAAACTAAATTAACTCGTAAACTTTTCACAAATAATTAATACTACTTTCATATCAAAATATAAGATATTTTTCACTCTTATCATTTTTTATAAGACCTTTTTCTAGTTATTAATCACATGAATTATATATTTTTTAAATATTTTTATTTAATTAATAGTTTTTTTAGACAAAAGATAATATTTGAAATTAATGAGATAAAAAAATGTCCTCTCTTTTAGACTTATGATTTTTTTTTTCAAATATTAATTAATTAGATGAAAAATATTAAATAAAATAAGAAAAGATTAATTTAAGAGATGTTAAAACTTTAAAGGTAATAAATATTCTTATGTCGATTCTAACATCGAAAAAGATACCTATACTAGCCACCTCTCCAATCTCATTGATGTCCTTTACACTTTCACTAAGGATCTTATTTGCAACAAACTCACCTACTCTAGCCTCCCATTGATTTTCTTCTTCAATTCCTCCTCATTAACATGAATGTGTGTAAGTTTGAATACGTCTTTATGTTATGTATAAATATTTCATTTGAATGCTTCCTATTTCCTTTTGTAAGAAAAAAAAACATTTCTATTCTTAGATATAAATAATTTTCAACTAATTTATTTTATTTAATGATATTTTTTTAAAATAAATTATTCCTTTAATACATACTCTTGCACCACTTTTTTATAGATATTTATAATAAAAATAATTTAGGAAAAATATTATAATATTCGTAAATGCAAAATTCTTTGTTGTAAATCTAATATCCTATATATATCATATCATTCTGTACACTAATCGAACTCTAAATTCTTTGTTGTAATACACAGGAAGTGAATATGGATGGACCAATAGCAAACGTGTGAGTCAACTAAGATTTTTGAAGTGAAACCTAAACATTGTCCTAGATTATTTTCAGACGGCAAATTTTATTGGATCTGCATATATACGTGGGACCAAAGGATGTTCAGAGCAATGATTATGCTATAACATATTTATGTGTGAATGTTTAGATGGAATGGTTATCTTGTTTGCATGACCACGATTAAAAATATTTTGACTAAATTATACATTTGATATCCATTTTTATTAATTTACAAAAAAAAATTATTTTAAAATAAAAATATTTAGTATTTTTAATTTAAGTTGAGATTCAAAGTGCAATCATTTAATTAAATGAAGTGAATTTCTCATCATTAATATTAATTTAAGTTAATTTTTATTTAATGATTTTACTCATTCTTGTGAAGAAGAAAATATTAAGAGTTTAATTATACTTTAAGGGTAAAATAAGTAAAATTTTGAAAGTAGGAGACAGAAAATATGAGTTAGGAAAAAATTTTGCAAAATTATATATATTAGTTTAAATAATAAAAAATAGGAGTGGACCTGATGAAAAAAATGGGATCACGTCTTATGAACTCGTTGAGAATAATTCTGATCTAGTTCATGGCCTATTAGAAGTAGAAGGCGCTCTGGTGGGATCCTCACGGACAGAAAAAGATTGCAGTCAGTTTGATAATGATCGAGTGACATTGCTTCTTCGGTCCGAACCAAGGAATCCCTTAAATATGATTCAAAATGGATTTTATTCTATCGTTGATCAAAGATTTCTCTATGAAAATATGAATCGGAGTTTGAAGAAGGGGGGGGGGGGTCCTCGACCCGCAACAGATAGAGGAGGATTTTTTCAATCACATCGTTTGGGCTCCTAGAATATGGCGCCCCTGGGGCTTTCTATTTGATTGTATCGAAAGGCCCAATTCATTGGGATTTTCCTATTGGGCCAGGTCATTTCGAGGCAAGCGGATCATTTCAATTTGCAAAATATAAAACTTTGATAAGCAAGGGTGCAATTAAATTTTTTGAAATCTTAAGACTAATTAATTTGACCGATTATTACAATTTTAATGACTAAATTGATAACTTACAATTTCAATAACTATTTTTCTTTTTATTTATTTTAAAGATCGTACTTTGATCATCTATTATAATTTTATGGAGTAAATTAAATGATGAAATACAATTTAAATTTTAAAGAATTGTTTTATTAATTTTAAGATCATTCAATTGCACCATTACATGCAGTAAACCACCGATTCGCTCCTTTAAAATGTATTAATTGAGCATGTTTGTGTTTTTAAATAAGAGTTAAAATAAGTATCATGATCAATGAAATATCAACTTAATAAGTAGTACTCATTAACTCTGAAAACACAAATACAAGGAAGCTAGCACAACATAATTTACAGGAAGCTGATCCTTCTTATAAAGCATGCAAAGATCATATTAGTATCTCTAGCTAGTAGGTTTAGGGTTTAGGAACTCAAGTCTTTTATTTTGAGCAAGCACATGGAGAGTAAAGCTTTCACACACAATAGCTATAGAAATGTTACAATAATCATGCTGAAGCAGCAGAAGCATTGAGAGGAAATTTATTGAGCAAGAGTGATTCAGAATTAGCTGCTGGTATTGGAAGAGATCCTAGATTATGTCCTGGACCAGGTTCCGGAGAATAGCCCGGAGATGGTGGCGGTGGTGGTAAGCGTCGTGGATGTCTTGGTGGCCTCAAAGTCACTTCCAGAGTTGCTTCATGTTCATGCCAAGGTGTTTGTTGTGCAAAACCTGCTTAACCAATTCAACAATCATATATGTCCATATATTTATATATTTACTACCATACCTACATATATATCACATTTTTCCCTTATCTCTCATCTCTTCTTATGATCTCTTACTAAAGGATATATATATATATTATATTATATGAAAATGTAACGAGTAAGAATTGAAGTAATTAGTACCGAGTGACAGAGTCGGTAAACGTCTAGCTTCTGTAGGAGTAGAAGCAAACAGCAAAGCAATAAAGAGAGAAAGTAGGAGGACATGGACAATATGGAGAGTCTTCATCTTCTCCTAATAACTCAAGTAGATCGTAGATTGATGCATGACATTCTTCAGACAAACGCTAGCATATATATAAAGAGGGAAACACACACACAAGATGTGTGTTTGTGTGGAAGTAGTTGATGGGTCCAATCACATTTGAGCAAAAGGATGCATTCCCATTTAGCATGAGACAAAACATTGAACCGAATAATTTGCTATCATTTGAAAATTTTAATTTTATTTCCTGCATTAGGTAGGTTACAATAATATGTGCGAAATTATAAGGAGTTTGGTATATATATGCAGACCAATGGCATCCACGATGTCAGGATATACTGCATGTCTAATAACTAATTATCGAAAATGTTTCATGAATATTAAAATGGGACGTGATTGATTATTCACCGGGTTTGTAAGAGGTTTTTGCTTCATGCTTGAGCATTGGATCGGCATACATTTCACAGGTTGCGGTTGAGCTAACACCACACAATACATAATAACTTAAGTTTTTTTTTTTTTTTTTTATCAATAAAAGATAAGACCAAATCTAAGTGCATTTACTTCTAACACTCTCACTATACTTGGCCACTCTGGTGATTTAAATAATAACTAAGTGCTTATAAATGTTAGCATTATTCGTTACAGGCATTAATTCGATGACCCAATGTTTTCGGGAAAACTAAATTAATGTTGATTTTTTTTTTAATTATTGATGTTTTACAGATTTTTTTTTTTTATCAATGATGTTTTACAGATCCAAAGTATTATTGATTTTTTTACATGTATCTCACTATTTAATAACTGTTACAATAGTAATTAATTTATTACAAATAGTGAAATGTTGATATATTTTAGTTCAGATATATGCAATAATATTTAACATTCATTTAATAGTCTTTAGTCAGTGTACTTATCAAACTTAATCATCGAGATATTTATAAAACAAATTAACCCTTTCAAAACCAATAATAGGCTTTTAAATGCAGGCACACGTATAAGATTTATTTAAATTTTATGAGAAATATAGCAATTTTATTTTATAATTATTTTTTTATTTCGTTATAAATTCGTATGCTCTTCCCTTACCAATTTTCTCGTTATTATAAATCAACACAAAATAATTTAATATCTAGTAACGTAAATAAAGATGTATTGCATATGTATAAGGTAATCTGAGGTTCGGCTGACAGTAACATTGTCGGGTGTTTGAAATTTTATATTTGGTACCACATTTATATGGTTGGCATTTTTATTTGGAATATCTGTACGTGTTTAGTTTTAATTTTTTAAAATAAATAATTATTCTGAACGAATTTGGCGTATCATCGGACGGGTATTGGAAGAAGATGATGGTGATAGTCATTTGTAAATAATCTAATGTTTTTCTTAGTAAGAATTTGATAGAATTTTGGTGTTTGTTAAGTATTATGAAAGATAATCCGTATCTAAGAGTAGGGGAATGACGTGATGGAGTGGATTAGGTGGAATTAATTTGTACACTTATTGAAAGGAGATATCTTAGTCTTTCCTTAAGGGGTTATTTTAAGGAGTCTTATCACATTATTCCGTTTTAAAAAAATTATAAATAATTTGCTTTAACTTATTTTATGTTATAGATGGTGATAAATTAGTAAATGTCTTGTTATCGATTACTATAAAATATATTTTTTAATTTATTTTTATAAATTTTGTACAAAGAGTTAGAATTTGTTAACAACACTACATATAAATTTAAAAATTTGCATCAAATTTTATACCTTGATTAACTTTTTTGCATAATGTAAATTTAATTGATTTAATCATTAAATTATTTAAATTATACTCAAAATTATATATATCAAATTTGTATATTATTTATTTTCTAAATTTGTTATCTAAAAATAAATGTTTATACATTTTAAATATTATATATATTATATGTTAAAATAAAATAATAATATGATAAACTATTAAATAATTTTGTAGTCCTGTATACATAATTTTGAGTATAATATAAAATAGTTTAATAATTGAATTAATTAAATTTGTATTATACAAAATAATTATTGAAGGTATAAAATTTTGTGTTAATTTTTAGATTTATATATGTAGTGTAAACAAATCTTGATTCGAAAAGAGTTAAAATTTGTTAACACTAGTTGAAAGTCTAAAAAACATACATTAAATCTTATATATTTAATAACTTTTTGTATAACGCAAATTTAACTAATTTAACTATTAAATTATGTAATATATTTATACATATTTTAAATATCATATTAAACGTTAAAATAAAATAACATTATATATTATATATTAAAAAATTTTGGAATTGTGTAAATTTTAACATATATAATCTTAAGTATAATATCACATATTTTAATGATTAGATCAATTAAATTTATATTATATAAAAAAATTATTAACAATATAATATTTGATGTTAAGTTTTTAGTCTTATATCTATGTAAAAAGACTTTTTTGTAGAAAAGTTTATATGCATAATTTTATCAAATATTTATAAAATAAAATAAAATCTTTTTCGAATTTTGGTAGGGTCAAATACATAGCGAGTGTTTTATTATTTTTTTCTATTTTCTCAATTACCTGAATTAATATAAATATTAACTACTACAAATAATATAAGGTATGTATGAAATTTTTTAAAATTTTACTCTTTTTTTTTGTAGAATACAAAATTCTGCAATTAGCATAGAGTTATTCCAGTTCAACTGGTAGTATCTAGTTCAAATAGTTGTGGCATAGACCAGTATAAAGGTTACTAAAATTTCAATAAAAAATTAATTATTTTCTTAAAATTTTTCATCCAAATATTCTTTTAGATAATTAATCATTTATTTTTTTAAAAAATTTCTCTTAAAAATGATTTATATATTTTTAAAAAAATTACACTATATACATATTAGATTTTAAAAACAAATACTTTATTTTAAAATGTTTTATTTAAATTATTACAAAAACAGTGGATCCTTTTCATATAATAAATTAAATTAAAATTTATTTAATTTCAATAATTTTAAAATTATATATTGATGTGAACATTTTCAAATTAAAATTAATTGATAATAATATCATCAATCTGTTCTATTACTATATATATAAAACAATGTTTCCACTTCTCCACGTGTCAAATTTTCGAGAAAAAATTTTCTGTTCAAACAGATTTCCTTTTTTTTTTTTTACTTTATTAAACCATTTTATCCCAAACAAACAAAAATTAATCTTTTCTCTCTCCTACTATATTTACACATCTTTTAAATTGTTTTTAATATTATTCATAATATTATTTTGGCTTTATTTAAATTGTTTTTAATTGGTTGGATGTTACCTTTAGAGTTTAGACAGAAGGACGAGTTCAATATTTTCTGTCGCGAAATAAGATTTTTAATTACAAAAGAAAAGTTCATCTTCACCTATTAATATCATCAATTCTGATGATAATAATTAAATCACATCGTATACCATCAATTTTATAAGGTTATTTTTTTTTGTTTTTGTCTGTAATATTAAAAGAATTACATATATATATATATATATATATATATTATTAGCCTTAAAATTTTATCAAATTTTTAAATAATAATATTAATTAAAAGAATTATATATACTTTTAATTAATCTTGAATTTTTGTTGATTTTCATTTTTAGTTTTTGAATTTAATCCTCTCATTAATATTTTGGCTCTTGAAGTTAATTTTTTTTTATTCACAAAAAAATTTAAAGACTAAAATTAAATAAAATTTGTTCAAAACTTAAAATAAAAATTGAAAATAATTCATAAACTAAAACAATGTTTAATTTATATGAAAAATATAGCGATAAATGTTTGATAATGTCATACTTATATATTAAATATATTTATAAGATGTTAGGGTAGAAATAAGATGATCTAAGTTTCATCTTCGTTAAGTTATTGTAATTTTTTATTATGAATAATATATGTATATATATATATATATTAAATATCTTATTTAAATTAACTATACAAAATATTTGAACATGTCTGACTCGTATTGTAAGCACAAAAGCTTATTAAAATGCATATTACACATAACCTTCGTCGTCTTCTTTATTTGGATTTTCACGATAAAAATAAACAGTGTTTTACTAAATAAAGCAAAAGCATTATTTGAATGTATGTAAGCTAGAAGCAAATGTAAATAATTAATTATATACAAAATATTTGAACATGTCCGACTCACATACCACACAAACAGTAATGCGTCTTATTAAAAATGCCATAACACACATAACCTTCCTTGCCTTTTTTATTTCGATTGCCGCGATTAAGACAAATCACGATCAACAAAAAATAAAGCAAAAACATTATATTATATTATATTATATATATATATTCAAAATGAATAAATCTACGTAAATTTATTTTACTTACGATTAAATTTCATCAATTTAATCGTTAAATTAAAAAATTTTAATATATAAATTAAGCTAATAAATTTTTAAAAAAAATTAAAAATCATTTGATATTATATTTTATTAATTTAAATTGATGGTAAAATTTTTTATAATTTATTCTTGAATTAAGTAATTTTTTCTCTCTATATATAAAAGGATAAATCAATTATTCTAAGAAAACTTTTAATACAATTACTTCATTATGTATGTTTAATTTTAACAATCAATCATTATATTAAAATTTAATATAGGGATCAAGTCTACAAGTTTTTAAAAAAATTAAAAACTATATAATATTTTATTATATTTAAATTAATATATAAAATATTTTTATAATTATTCG